ATACAAATGAAGTAATAGAAAAAATAACTTTATGAATGTAACATGTGCGGTCTTTTCAATTAAATTATTGTCAAAGCCATGCCCTTGGAAAAACTTTGGAAAAGCGCCAGTAGTTAAAATAAAGTAGGTTAACTACTATTTCAGCGCGCCGTAAAACTCATCGTAAAAGTACATACTCTCTCGCGGCGCGTAGGCGAAGAACGAAAGACATTTCCTATGTTTTACAACTTCTAGAGAAACATCTTCGGTTCGATTATAACAAGCGATATTTTTCTTAGATATAAGTTGATGGTGTCCTGTTGGCATCAAGAGCCCGGCATGCGACCGTCATTCAAAGAGCTAACCAGCCATTGGGAACGCATGTTGGAAGACGGTGTTGAATATCTCGATCTTAATCCACGAACCGTCCATAATCAAGCCTACTTCGCGTCTCTACAAGCTATAGACAGCGCCAGTGGTAAGTGCAATAAGTTCGTCGATATCGTTCAATAAATATCTGTTATCACAATTGCCACTTTTAACAATTCAGAGATAGAAAGAAATTTCCGAAGTTTGAGTTAGTTTCAATTCATTTCGAAATATTACTATGTGGGATAACATAAATCAAACATTTGGCGATTTGAGATAACGATTCGGAGTTATCTTAAAATTCTAGTCAAATCTTTTGTAGGTTCCAGCAACGATCAAGTAAACAACGGAACTACCAATATCCTGAAAACGAACACAGTCAACTATCTTGGCCGGATATGTTCTGAGCCCGTCACTAAATGTGATAAGGTGGATAAGCTGCAGGCGCTCTGGCAGCCATCGATAGCGTCCTTCCCCGAGGAACCTGTGAAATCGCCTTACGTAAACGAACGAGCCGCGAGTTTAAAAACCAATCACTATGAAAGTCCGATAAAGCTGAGAAACGCCAGCGTGACCAGCAACAGCGAAAATGATTTGAGAACACCTCCCAATGAACGTCCTCAGTCCTACATCGATATGCAGGGAAGAAAATCGTCGGAGACGGAGGACCTCTTGGTGTTTGGAAGCATGGACGACGACAAGAGCGACAATAATGTGACAAATTGATCGAATAATCTTGCGTTGTTTGACAAATAAAGAAATTCAAAATGGGAAAACACGCTGGTTTCCCGAATCTTGACAGTGTTTTCTTGAGGCGGATAGGTGAAAGAAAGTAAAAGTTGATGGAGCAGTTAGTTGCAGATTGATTGCAATTTGTGCGAGAAAAGGAATATTTATTTAAAGAAGGAGTGTGAGAGAAAATTGTATATGCGAGCAATTGAAAGCGAATGATTCGTGTAGAATGAAAAGCGCCATGTTTTACGGTAATCTGCGGGAATTGAAGAAGAACAGCGATGACATAATGAAACAAATGAAAATTGTATTTGTGCTAAAACAAATATTAACTCTGTAGAGTTGGAGTAAGTCGCGATTTAAATTATATCGCAGACAGAATTCTTGATTGAAAGGAAGAATTTTTGATTGAAACAAAACGCTCTGTAGAAAGTTAGGAGTAAACTATATCACGCAAAATGCGATTGCTATACCAAATATAAATTAATAATTAATTTATGTTTTTATATACTTAAAATTGTACAATCGTTTGTCAATCATCACTGGTAAGACCGCTTTTAATACTATTAATGATAATAGTTGATGCATTATAATCATTCGTGCGATTTTTCGAAAAGATCATTGTATTTTTCAGCATTTAAAAATCCTCTGTATATTACACCGAGCTACTATAATAAGATTTGAAAATCAGTTGCTCTTTGAGAATATCAAATTTCTCAAAATAAGTTCACAGATTGTTTCCTAGTTAGTGGTTTCTGTTACAAACTCGATGGTGCAAACATACACATTTTTTCGATTAATTTCAAGTCGGTCAAAGATTCCACTTGAGGCGTAATTACGATATTAATATTTAAACTTGAAAAGTTGCAGATTTGGTCTTCCATCAAATCTTTCCTGATAGATATCCATGGTTGTGAAGTTATACGGCACCCTATTCAACCGAAACTTAATCATCACGCTTCCATTCGAAACGAGATACTTTCTATATTGTCGCACTTGTCCGCTTTTGTGGCTTTCGTGTGTTCGACACACACAACGAAGCAGCGCACGCAAACTGAAGTGATACGAACGAACTGTAAGAGTAGTATTTTTTACGAGACGTAAATGTGGGCTCCGGTTGGCGCGACGTCATATCCGAAGAAGACTGTGTTTCACCGTACCTCACCGAGGACGGAATCGTCCCTTTTGTATTTATGTATAAAGCGCAACATTCCACCCATGATTAGCCTAGTTATTTATCGTACAAATTTTACACGACTGCGTATGATTTCGACTAGTATCACGTTTGATGTTCGCTCTTTTTCCTTTTTAAACTTGAGGCGTTAATAACAACGATATGGAGCGCATTATAAGCCGGTTAATATTGTGCCATATTATTTTCTTGTAATATCTCAAAACATATAAAAGACGCTTTTAAACGGAGTATTTTTTAATATTATTCTTACCTGATTTCCAACAGCGCTTCTTCTCCTGTTGCAATAATAATTTTCTTGAAGATAGATAAAAAAATAAATAAGAAAAAAGAGAATAGGGACAAAATTAGCGATTATTCATATTTTTATCATTACACATTATGAACATTTTGTTTAAATATTTATTTTAAAAGAGAAGATTTTATTTTTTAAAAACTTTTATGTAAATTTTTAGCATAAAATATGAGATGATTATGTATAAGAAAATTCTTTTTATCAAACTGCAATACAATTATGTGTAAAAATGTGTTTCGAGTTCCACGAGGCAGAAATAGATTCGCATTAGAAATAAGATGATGAAATTTATAAAAAAATTATTTTTATATTCTAATCAACTATCGTCGCATACAAAATCAAACACAAAATAGAAAATGATAAGAAAATCAATTTCTTATGTGAGTTGTTCGTACAAAGAAAAGAAAAAAATTACAAATTTAGCTTATCTATGCGGAACTCACAGTCATTTTTCGCAGAATTGATGACAAAGGACTTATTTTCATCAGTCTCACCGAGTAAATTCAGTTCGTCGATACGTGTTGTGAAAGATTGAGGTATGATGTCGCCGTTCAGTATGTCTGGCGGGCGTTCTTCGATACGTGGATCGGCGTTCCCTTTTGTCTCTTGTACAACATTCAGTGGTAACAAATCGTCTAGAAAAAATTCATAATATCTGATGTAAAATTACTAGTGCAATAGTAATCAATTCTAGTCAATCTAATCAAGTGTAAGAAATTAAAATAGATAAAGATCAATCACATCTATAATAAGAAGAATGAGGACTTGTATATGAAAAAAAAAATCGAAGCGTTAGCAAGATGTGCACACACTGCAATAAAATCAAGCATCGATAACGTTACTTACCGGTCTCCTCGGTGTTCTTCATCGCATTGGACTCGTCCTCGGAGATCTTCATTGTGGCGAGCTTGATACTCTCCAACAGTGATTCATTCGATGACGTGATCAATCGGAGACAGGAAATACCATAGATCGTTTTCACAAGTCTCATTAAATTCTTGGGTATGCAAAACTTTTTAAAGTGCCGCGCCTCCTCCGGTATATGGTCCGGTTTGCAGTATGGCAGATGTATCGCGTAGTACCTCTTGTTTCTTCGCGGATAATTCTCCTTCAGCAGTCGCAACAGGTGGTTGTCTACGTTTCGATAAATAATCGTCGCGTCGGCTTTCGCGAATGTCGGCGGAGACGTCGCGATCAGCACAACGTCCGCGATTTGAAACGCGGTATTGCACCAGAGCCCTGGGTCCTGCGATCACATTTATCGATTATTTCGCTGAACTCGCGTATATCGCGTACAAATTCATACATTATTAATCAAGTTTATTAATTATGCCAATTAAATTCGTGTTATCGGATGATGGGTCTATTTTAAAAGCAATTACCGTAATATCACATCGTCGATTTATCCAATTACTTACTTTGCTGGCAGTTTTTGGAATATCGAAAATGTCGATCATGGCATTGATGCTACAGCATTGCAGATACTTGGTCAACTCCGCCATTACATTCACATGTGATGGATGCGTCGGAGAGTACACCAGCAAGCAATTCGGCTTTGTTGCCATTCTCTTTAAAACTATATTTAAAAAAATAAAATACAACTTAAAAAAAGAAAATAATTTAATTAAAGCGAAATGAGAGATGTCTTCACACGAATAGAAAAAAAAAAATAACAAAAAATTCTCACCCTTCTTTCTGTAGAGTTTGGACGCGTGATACAGCGCGTACAACAGCACAGGTGGTATCCATATTAAGCTGATTATCATAATCAGCAGTTTATCGGACACATGTTCTGTGTGTGAGAATACACATTAGCAGCCAGTTGCAAGGAAGAGCCGACAGAGATATAAGGAAAAAAAATTGACTTTTGAGATTTCTAAATTTCTCATTTACTTATGTGTATGTATGGCGTCGTGCTGTTCGCGCATCCGTATTTGTCGCATTCGGGATGCAAAACCGCGACGCTGACGAAATAGACGCCGTCCGGCGCCGAGAATTTATACCGAATGTTTTCGAGGTTTCGGCTCGCGGGAATAATCGTGTCGAGAACGATCGACCTCGTGTCGTTGTTGATCACCCACGCCCTGTACTCCGTCACGTTGTACTTCGGCGGGAGCGGTTGTATGTAAAACGACAGATCTGACAGATCCGTGATGTCAATGTACACGAAGGGCGTGAACGTCTTGACTTGGATGTCCGGAGTACCTGAAAGAGACTCGGGGTGGCTACGAAAAAACGGACAACGCAAAGAAAAAGAAAAGCAGAAAAAAAAATGAGTGACCTACCGAAATGCTCGTGCCGCGGCACGTAGAATACGTACGTTCCAGTGTACGCATAATTATCCCCGATCGCAAGATACTCCAAACTATACGAGGAGCCCTCGTACGTGTCCTCAGAGAACGGGCAAGACACGTGTAATTCCTTGGGCGCGGGATGGCTGGCGTTCCCATACAACTCTATCCGTCTACACGCGCTCTCGCGCTTGTTGAGGATATTTTGATAACGCGTGATTAACCCTGATTCACATAAACAACAGACTTTTAATGCGGAGCAATAAGAGATGTTCAATTAGACAGACTTGTTTTCATTTATTTCCAGTGTGCTAAAATACTGCTCAATACTGTCCAGCAGTGGATGTCTCCTTACTATGAAAATTGATATCCGAGACCGATAAATTAAACGCAGTCGTTCTTCCATAGAAATCGCCGAAGTCTATTACATACGCCTTTAACACGAAAATTGTCCGATAATCTCGCTTGGACGACTTCACATCGGTATTCTCAAATTTCAGCTTTGTACAATCTAGAACATCGTGTAATATTTGACGAGTGTGAGACACAATCTCCGCCAAATTAGATTATTATTTCCTACCTTCCCCCTTTTGCACTTTCGTTAGTACGCATTGGAAACCCGGTATTGGCTCCAAGTGAGTCTAAAAAAAATAAAATAAATTTAGATATAAAATCATACATTAGCGAGATTGGTTAAACAACTCGAAAAAAATAGAGAAAAAGATTATATGATCGAATCAGTTAAGATAAATTGTTATTTCAGATTTTATTATCATTCATTACATAACAAACCAGTATTTTATCATTTGTCGATTCTTATTATCTATTTTTTTACAATGCGCAAATTAAAATTCACATCAATCACATCCATATAAATAGCCTTGCTTGTATTACTTGTAAAGGAGAATCTGATTAAAAGGTTTATCTTGACAAAAATATTGAACAAGATTACCATTTATGGTAGCTGTTTATTCTTACTTTTTTTAAATTAGAATTTTTTAAATAAAGTTTATGCAGAATTAAATAACAAATGTAATTAAAGGCGGAGTCTGATTAATAAAAAAGCGCTTTTTCTTTGCAAAAATATTAATTTGTAGGATAATCAGAGGATTTACTCAGAATTATAAGACAAATTTCCTGAAAAACTAACGGTCTTTATTCGCAAATTCATTGTTTTTCTTCATAACGGAAAGACATTGTTCTAATCGCTTAAGGGTGGAAGGAATGGAAAGATCGATCACAATATATATACACATATCGCGGAGCGATAACATAAGAATTCCTGTACAAATGAGACCTTTTACAGCAATTTTTCATTTAATTTATCATAAATTTTAAATTAGAATTTTTTAAAATAAAGTTTATTTAGAATTAATGGCAAATGTAATTTCACAATCTATAATTCTTAAAAAATACGAAGATGTTTTTGGCTTATTTCTTTTCCACTTGCAACGAAAATTATTGATACTTCAATATTTTCATCGAAAAAAGATTATCTTTGAATTGAAAGAATTTTCGTTTATTAAAATTATGCACGAAATGTATGAAACATCCTGTATACATGACGCGATAGATACATATCGTTCCAAAAGTAACAAATTCATAATATCAAAGATCAACTGAAGAGGACGATTCAAATCACAAAACGATAAGAAAAAGATTATATCTAACACCTTTGTTCTAACAGTCTGACCTAAAATTGATATAACTAACTAATCAGATTTAATATAATTAAAATTGAATAAATGAGTTGACGTGTAAACAAAGCATGTGATTGTCGAGACGTTTCCGTTGTGACATTACTTCACAAAACCTGGTACTTTCGAATCGATCACATGAGTGGAGTATCGATACTCACCAGATTCTGACAGTAATCCGGATAACAATAAGAAGCCAAGGTACGTCCAGTAAACGAGCACAGGACGACCGCGGCGATGAAGATGCCGTTGTGAATAATCTTGTGCATTTTTCTGAGTTGAGTGATCACTTGACGACGATGCACAGCGTTCGATAGACGGCACGTGTCGTTGATCTCGACATGTCAAACAAACAGTAGAATCTGATGTTTCACCATGGTGCCGAGCACTATCTTATAACTTGCATTCCACGTCGAATAATGCGAAATGTCACAACGCGGAACAACGTCAACGACCACCTCGATTGGATGCGAGGTCACAAACTGCGCGTCGACGTGAGGAAAGCTCTGCTGGGAATGACAGGTACTGCTTCTGTCGCTTGTCGTCGACAACAACGATCTCTACAAGATGGATCATCGATGACTCAAGTTATTCAAGTTTATTCAGCGAACGTCACAGCGAATGACGGTGACTCGATGAAAGAAAAAATACAAAAGAAGTATGTAGACTACTACTTTTGAATCTCGGAGCATATTATGTATTTTTAGCACAGATTTAATAAGGCACGAAATTTATAAGGCACAAAAAATTAATTGTGTTAAGAGGAAGAAAGATAAATTTCCTGATATCTCGATAAGATAAAGAACAATAGTGCGTTGTGTTGAGATATAATTAGAATATATTTTCGAACTGCAGAAATTAATTAATGAGATATTTAATTAGAATAAAAGAAGAGAAAGTGAGAGAAAAATATACTATTATATTTCTTGTTTTATAAATAATTTTATTACGGAAGTATAAGGCATGTATTTAAAATGATAAACTTGTCACATATAATGATAAACTTGTCACTTGTCACGCGTTACAAAATTTAAAAAATAACACTTTTATTTGTCTTCATTAATAAGGTGATTTCATAAAAACGTTTAGTACAGACGTCAGATCTCAGATAAAGTAAGATTTATAATCTTACTTAATCTTATCGCGAATTCTGCCGCTATGGACACGACAATTACTTATTATTATGACAACATATGTTGCTATTTTAGAATAAATTTCTACAATTTTGTAATATTTTAACTTTTGAATAGAATTAACATCAATTATTTGCAATAAATGTCTCACATAATTTTTTACTCTTTTTATTCCAGAATTTTCCTACAGAATTATAATATTTCATTGATTAAACAAAGTTTCGGACTAAATAATTATAAAATAATATTTTAACTTATTAATTTTTTTACAATGCTAAGATCATGCGAGATGTAATATTAAACTTTTAAATTACAAAAAACTTATTGAAAGTATCTCATTTCAAAGAATTATATGATTTCTATGATAATAGTCACGCAGATATTAACATTCAAATTATGCTTAGTTACGCGAGTTATGATAATTTTCATAAAACTCTTAGCTATTAACAACTATTACTCTGGTTATCTTATAGGATAATTTTATAAGATTATTTGTTCTCTTAAAGTAAGTCTAAAATCTATCTAAATATCTTGAATTCGCTGATGCTGATTTCGGATTTATTAATTAATTATGTGAAATATTTAAGCTTCTCGAAAACTAAACTAATCAACTCTATTTTTGTAAATTTTTTTAATTTTAGTATGAACTCATGATTATATAACTTATATTATATAATGTTATAATTTCATTAACTTTTTAGCTCTTATTTTATATAATTGGTCAATTAATTTTAAGAAGGCTCATTTGATAGTTATATGGCTAGTTTTGTTGAGAGATATTAAAATTTTATATCATTTGTATATGTAATTATATAAT